CCCACTCCCACCCCCCGCCAAATAATCTCCAGAGGTAGTGGTTTGAAACTGCTAATAAACAATTCCCTTTAGCCTGATAATACAACAGGCACTCATAAAATAGTTTCTATGACACAATTATGACTTATTTCTAAGTCTGATCTTATGTTAAGAATTTTGATCACTGCTATTTTCCAGATCAGTAGTGTTAACATTTTATAATTAAAAAAATTTTTTCAGCCATAAATGATCCTATAGCAACTAGTAAGTCTGCTTTTGTCATGCCTTCGGGGTCCAAAAATGTCTCATAACAGAATATTTTCATTACCTTTTAAGGATAAATATAACGTTTAAGAGTCATTGTAATTTTTATTTTAAAATGCTGTGGGGATTTTTAAAAAATGACATCACATGTTTGGCTAAGGTTTTATTTTCTTCAGCACAGTATGAACTCAAAATTGGGAACCAGCACTGCTCTAGTGAAAATCTCAGCAATCTGAAGAGCTTCAGGGCCATTTGTTTAATCTAGCTCTGCTTCAACACCATCATATCACAGATGACACTGAAGTTACGAAATGCCTAAGTTCTGGGGTCAGACAGATCTGAGTTCTCACCACAGCTACTGCCACTTACAGCTTTGCCTACTTAGGCAAGTCTCCTTAGCCCTTAAACCTCGTTTCCCAACGTTGAAGATGGGATTAATACCTATACCTCATTGGACTGTTATAATGGTACTAGAGGCTCGGTGCACCGGCACCGGTGGGGTCCCTAGGCCTGCCCCGAGGGGATCGGCCGAAATCGGCTCTCCGACATCCCCCGAGGAGTCCTGGATTGCAAGAGGGTGGTTCTCGGGTAACACACCCCGCAAACGGGCTCCCTCCTCTCTGGTTCCTGGTGCATCACCCAAGAACTGCAGCTGCCAAGTCACCGCAGCTCGGCAGCTCCTGCGTTGAGTGTCTTGCCCACTGGTGGTCATTGTGCATCATAGCTACCAGCCTGTCAGCCGGTCGGCAGTCGCTTAGGCTTTTTGGTACAGTGCCTGGCACATAGTGTCAATTATTATTAAGTGTTTCATTAGTTTTTCTTCTTCCATTGTAGGTAATACATACTTGAAGAAAAGTTGGAAAATTACAAAGAAATTAATATTTTTAAAATTACCCTAAACCCCTGTAACTTTTAGGACTACTAGCCTCAGATTTGAAGATTCCCCAGATAATTGTTTTTGATAGATACAAATTGCTTTCTAAAAGGTCTACTGATTGATACTTCCATAAAACAGGTATGAACGACTGCACTCATTGGTGTACATTCAAAAATGGTTCATCTTTAATTTTTAGGTACTTATTCTCAGAAGCACTGAAGAACGAAGGATGGTTCCCAACCTCAAAATGTTCACGGAGAGTACCGAATAAGACACTGGAGATTCTCCTGTGGCCTCCTGTCCCCAAGAGGCTACTTGGAAGTATCTGGTCTACGGAGATATACGGAGCAGCCCCTGGGCCGCGCGCTTGGCTGGAATTTCTCCTTTGCTCAGACAGAGCAGAATCATCTCAGTTAACCCATGAAAGGTTTGAAGATGTCTCCTAACTTCTGGGTCAATCTTCAGTTATGCAAAGTGGGCTATTTGTGAGGCATTTGAAATAATCTACTATAACTCCTTTAATGTAATTTCCAGATTTTCTCCTAAAGATTTCTCTGCCTCTAGATTTTCAAGCCTTAAAAGGGCTAACCCAGGTGAAACTTCACTTGTGTGCACAAAACTGGAAGCTTCATGTAAACATTTGAGTGTGTATACATAAATATGCATAGGGATGTGTACATATGTATTACGTGAAAATTAAGTATGGTACATATGACATGTGATTGCTGAACCAATTAAACTCATACACAGAAGTAGAATGTTAGATCTGAAAGGGACCTTGTAGATCATCTCTAACCCAACCTTTTTTAGTCAGAAGAAGAAATAAGGCTCAAAGAATATAAGTATCCAGTTCCCAGTGCTACAACAGTCAAATTCTGGACCCAGATCAGCTTCCCCATAGCGCCTTTTTCACGGCGCTGCAGTCCTTTTCTATCAAGACTTGATTTTCTATCTAGTAATGAAACACTACCCCATAAATCAGTTGTACCAAAACAGGCACTAGCACCGTTTCCAAGGCAAAGCACCTTTTATTTGCATTTCGCTTCAAATATAAAGAGGCCTCAAGGTAGTAGTAACTCTGCTGATGCCACCCATTCCTTTTACAAAGAAGAAACTGTGGTTCACAGAAGTTATGTGTCCCCAGGCTTTGGGGACAGATAGGTTCTTCATTTCCTAAGTGTATGACTTTGGTCAAAACACCCAACTCTCTGTATCCCAGTATGAAGATTAATAATATGGCATAACATCTAAACTCCCAAGGTTGGTGGAAGAATTACACTTAGCGCAATACCGGGCACAAAGCGAACTCTCCGTAATAAAAGGTTATTACTGTTATTATAAACCATTATAGTAAATAATGTCATATGCTTGGCAAACACAGAACTAGAACTCCACCTGCCTCCCAGGTCTTGGTCCTTTCAGCAACACCAATTTCGGGCATTTGACGATAATCTGGGGTGATGAACAGACGGGGCTATACCTGAACAGCCAAGAGCAGCCACGAACTACAAGCGAGGCGTCACCTAGAGCGCAAGGTCACCCGGCGAATCGAAATTCCAAGGGAGCCCTTTCGTCGGTCGCCGGGAAGGCACAGAGATCCAGAAGGCGGAGCGGCTCCCGCCGCCGAAGACCAGGCGAGGCTGCGGTCCTTCCCCCAGGGGCGCCGAGGCCCAGACTGTGCTACCCCGGCCTGCTGCGGCCTTCAGCGGGGGCTGGTTAGGGCCTAAGGTCCAGGGACATGAGGCCGGCAACCACAGCCCGGCAGTAAGGTGTGGCTCCGCGCCGCCGGCACTGCCGGCACCGATCTTCCAGAAAAGAGCCAAACTCCGCCGGGGCCAGGAAGCTTCCGGTGTCCCCGACGTGACGTAGCAGCAGCGCGCGCGATCCTCACATGCTATTGGTCACTTCTTCCGTCCAATGGGCGGAGCGGTACCCGACACCACTGAGCAGCCGGCAAGCTCTAGCACTGTCTCCTTGGGCAGTTCAGCCATCTCCATGGTGACCAGTCCCGGGTCACCCATTTGGCTTCCAAGCCCGCCGTTGCGTCATTGTTAGGCGCCGGAAGCGATCGTTCCTGCGCCGGGGCGTGGTGGCTTACACCCGGTCGGGGCCGGCGTCCTCGAAGTTAGACCGACCCGGGTCGGTTTCGGCCGGTGGGGGCCCCTATCAGGCCCCAGAACTATGGCGGTGTTTCACGACGAGGTGGAAATCGAGGACTTCCAATATGACGAGGACCTGGAGACGTATTTCTACCCCTGCCCTTGTGGCGATAACTTCTGCATCACTAAGGTAACCTGAGGTCCCCCGGCCGCTCCCTAGAGCAGGCGCGTTTCGCTCTACGGATTCTTCCGCCGCCCCGTAGCCCACGTGGCTCTTGTTATTCACGCCCTTTTTATCCAGTGTATGGATGCCCCCAAATTTGATAGTCTCAGCTGTCAGTGGGCATTTCCTTCTGGCCTTTAGTCAAGCCTAGTGGGGGAGGGGAGGGGCTGGATGGCGGGGAGCATCAGACTTTTCGCCATCCCCCCCACTTAGCATCCCTCTTCGGGTTCACCTTCCTGGGATATTGCTTTGCAGGAAGGGACGCGTTTTGTCTTCCCAGAGATTTTGAGACGACTGAACCTTAACCAACCTTCCGGAGTATTTCCCCGGGTGACGCGGCCAGGGAAAATTGGGGTTGGCATTTCTCTGGGAAAGCCTCTTTGACCCTCACCTACCTGGTGGGGGAGGCAAGTCACGAAGGAGCTTGCCCCTAGGGGTAGGAGGGTTTGGGAGGAGTTTGCAAAGGGAAGGCGATGCTGATCATACAGTGTTTGATTTTGTTGTAGGAAGATTTGGAGAACGGGGAAGACGTGGCGACGTGTCCGAGCTGCTCTCTCATTATAAAAGTGATTTATGACAAAGTAAGGGGTCACACTTTAAGAGGTGGGGGAGGAGGGGAGGGTTGTGGTGCAAGAACCTTGAGCAGCCTGTCTGTAATGTGTACGTGCAGGAGAATGTTTTCTAACAGTGTGTTAGGTAAATGCTATGTTTTTTAAAACCAATTTTAAAAACCATTAGTAAACAGCCGTATCGTAAATTAAAGTCTTAAAAGCTCAAATGTTCCTCCTTTGATTGCAATGTATAAATACAGATGTAACCCGCCCTTCTTCCCCTTCTCCCGAGCATTATCTCAATTCGTTGAGGTTCTGCCTCCCAGCATATGTCGACAGTTTGACTCAAATAAACTCACAAAAATTCTTTACAGGTTTCAGTGTGTTTTTTTTGTTAACAATAAGTAATTAAAATTGTTCAGAAGCACCTAGATTTATTTTGAAGGGAACAATTGTGTAGTATTTCTTACTTGGCTTAGATAAAACTCTATATTATATTGTTTGAGATATAATCATAGTTCCAATTTTACAATTTCATTTTAGTCTTCAGTTGTCCTTTTGTTTTTCCTCCAAGGACATTGAAAATAGAAAACTAAATAAATGTTATTACTGCCCATCCCAACTTTTGGTCAGTACTTTGAACAAAATCTTAAACTTAACATACTTTTTTCTTTTTAAGATATAATTGACATGTAACAGCTTGACATTTTTAAGGATGACCTCTAACAAGATTATAGGGAAGGTGGGAACAAGGCACTTTGCCTCATGAGAAAAGCAGGCTATAATTAGAAGTTTATGGATTATTCTTGTATTAAAATGTGTTCTGGAACAAAAAGAACAGGGTAAGTGAGATCAGGAGTGCTGGTATGACATCCTGGCAGGCCTTATTGAGCAGAGATTGAACGTGGTAAGGGAGTGAGCTCTGTACACATTAGGGTTAAGAGCGGTTGGCAAAGGGAATGTTCAGTGAAGAAGTCCCAAGGCAGAAACATGTTTGGTTTTATCAAGAACAGCAAGGAGGCCAGTGTGACCAGAGCAGAGTAAATGAGGGTGGGACTTGTCCAAGATGAATTAGTGCAGTGGGGCCGATCACAGAGGTGTTGTGGGACACTCAAAGGCAGCGGTTCTCAACCTGTGGGTCGAGACCCCTTTGGGGGTCGAATGACCCTTTCACAGGGGTCGCCTAAGACCATCGGAAAACACATATATAATTACATATCGTTTTTGTGATTAATCACTATGCTTTAATTATGTTCAATTTGTAACAATGAAATTGGGGTCACCACAACATGAGGAACTGTATTAAAGGGTCGTGGCATTAGGAAGGTTGAGAACCACTGCTCTAAGGACTTTGGCTTTTCCTATGAGTGATAGAGGGAACCAATGGAGGATTTTAGAACAAAGGAATGCCATGAACCAACTCAAGTTTTAAAACATGTTCCGGCTGCTTAGTTCAGAGTAGACTACATAGGAGCAAGGATAGAGACAGGAAAACCAGGTCGGAGGCTGTTAGACTAATCAAAGGAGGGGATGTTTCCCTGGGCCCAAGCTGCAGCAATGGAGGTAGTGGGAGTGGTTGGATTCTGGATACATTTTAAAGGGTAAGGATTTTTTGTTCTGTTAATTCTCACCTGAGGATATTTTTCCCATTGCCTTTCAGAGAGAGGAAAGGAGGGAAGAGGAGAGAGAGAAAGAGAAACATCAATGTGATAGGGACACATCAACTGGTTGCCTCCTGCACACGCCCCAACCTGGGAGAGGGGAGGGAACCCACAACCCTTCAGTGCTCAGGCTAATGCTCTAACCCTTGAGCAACACTGGCCAGGGCAAGGATCAATTCCTTACTGACTGGATATAGGATATAAGAGGAGTCAAGAATGATTTCAACATTTGTGGCCTTCAGAACAGGTTTAGGGGCAGGAGTTGGACATACTATGTTTGAGAGGTCTGTTTTTCATCCAAGTAGAGCTGGCCAGAAGGCAGTTGGATATATAAGTATGGAGTTCAAAGAGTGATTAATTGGCGCTATAAATTTGAGAGTTATCAGCATATAGCCTTTTAGTTGGGAGAAGTAATAATTTTGAAGAAAACAGACATTTGAATAGCCAAATATTGAAGTGGAGAACTTTTAGTGTAAGTACTAATTAATACAAAAACTTAAAAGGTGTGGCAATGTCTTTATAAATGGGATTTCTGAGAGGTGAGTGCTCTGTAGTGAAGATAAGCATGTTTGTTTACAAGATAAGGTATTTTATATTAAATATGAATTCATGACTAAAAACGGATTCAGTTCTAAGCTTATAAACCTGGTGCTGACATTGACTCTTTGAACAAAGATGAAGTGATGGAAAAACTTAGAGCTGGATTGATTCTGTAACAAGATGAAAATTTACTGTTGATGCATTTGTGACACACTCAGTGGTTAAGGTAATTTTCTGTTTGTTCTTAGGAGCAGTTTATGTGTGGAGAAACAGTCCCAGCCCCTTCCACCAACAAAGAATTAGTTAAATGCTAAACAAGGACTTCCGGGATCCAAATCCCGAACATTCAGGAATGAGCCAAGCTGGAAAAATCAAAGGCAAAGTTCCTGGCTTCCTCGTGGGACAACTGCTTTGTAGTTTGCTGCTGTGGATTCTTTCCATTGGAGTTCATCTCCAATTAAAGAAGCAAGCAACTGCTTTGTAGTTTGCTGCTGTGGATTCTTTCCATCGGCTCCGAGTTCATCTCCAATTAAAGAAGCAAATCCATGACATGACATACCTGGATTTCATGCTTAGAACTTTGAATTGGAAAAAGTGTTCTTTATTTTCCACATGAATTTAAAGGAAGATCATTTCAAGTCAGTGCTTTCATTCCCTCAGTCTTGTTATTTTTATCTTATACCTAATTTATTATCTGATAACATCATCTACCTCAAAGTCATTAGGATTCCTTCTTTTAAAACAGGATTTTATTTTTTTAATTGGTTATTAGGATTAGTAAAATTAGGCCTTTTTGAAATTGACATCAGGTTTGGTATTCTCACTTAAGAAAATGAGTTGCCTTGTCAGTACTACTGTGATGTTCCCACTCCAAACCAGTCTTCTGGGTCCGGCCATTAACAGAATGTTCCTGTTCTGTTAGGCACGTCTTTTCCATTGTACTTCATGCTCTGAGTTCTGGTCATGGTATTATAGAGATAACATAATAAGCTCACAGTTTTTTTTCCAGAGCTAAAAGTTAGTGAGAGAGAAAGAAAAGTCAAAAAGTGAAATAGTCAGAATATGGAGTTTCCTTGTCAGTGTTCTGCTTGTTCCTTGAAAATCGGGACAAGACAAAAAGGAAAACAGTCCAGGAAGTGAAATTGGCAACAGAATGACGGGAGAAAAACAAGGCAGCTCAGTAAATTAAATGCTTGAATGTTGTCGCCAGATCAGAGCAAATAATATTTCTGTATCTGGGTTCTTGTTTGTTTGTTACTTGTAGACATGGTTAATACAAGTGCATTCTAGATGGGGGTTAATGTCAAGCCTTCATGGCTGGCGGCAGAACGTTTAGCATTCCCGCAGAATCAAGTCACTACTTCTAAAGGTAGAGCTTTTACAACTCTTATAGTTGCTGAGGAAGAACTTGAAAATGAGATGCCTATTCTCAATAAGTATGCCCCTAAGAGCACATCTAATAAGCCTCTACACGTTGCAACCAAACCAAACATTCACTCTGACAGAGAAATGTTGCCCTGGAGAAAAAGAAATATGCAGAGATAGGCTCTCAGTCTTCCTTCGCTGCAGTGCTGAGAGTGGCAAGAAATTAGAATCACATGCAAATTCAGAAATTCTCTTTATATACACAATTTTGCTGTGTGTATAAAGTTTAAAAAAAAACAAACACAAAAAACCAAACACTGATGTCTGGCAGATTGTGTGGGGAATGGCTCCTACAAGTAAAGAGAAAAATCCCTGCCAGAATGTAAACATTGTATTATTGGTTGATAAACATGCTACACACACTCATTGGGATTTAGAACAAGTGAGTGGCCTTTTTATTTTTCTTTGCCAGCCAGCAGCATGGCCATGTGTAGCCATTAGCTGAGACATAAAATAAGTTACCAGAACTGTGTGCCGGGAGTACTTGGTACATTACATGAGGCATTATGTGGCATATTCTTGATGTGATGAGAAATCTCATTGCTGTGTGGGACGCGGGTGCCCCAGACGTCATCCACATTTGCTTTGGAATCAGTGGTGGCTCAGATGAACAGAGCAGGTGCTGACTTGATTAGAAATGAGCTGCAAACAACAACAAACTGCCCATATGCAAATGTTGATGGCTTTGTAGATACCAATGATGTTAGCTCCCTCGGTTCATGATGAATTTCAAATAAGAACAGGGACCCTTGATACAGGTCTGTGAGCACAGAAGAGCAGGGGGGAAAGTGGCCCAAGTTCAAGTGTTTCAGAAGAAAAGCGTAAATGGTTATCAGTGATCAATGATAAGCTGCAATCATGGGGATGATTTTGTTTCCAAAGCAACCGAGTCAATAAATTTGTTAACTGCAATACAACACATCAGGATTTAATTTAAATTTCTGTAAAGCAGAGAGTAAAACCAGGGTCTTTCAGATGTGACTAGAGTTCTGTGTGATATATGTGCCTTACTTAATTCAGCAGACCTTTCTGGAGCACCTCTGAGAAATCTGTAATTCAGCTTCTGTCTTACTAGCTTTGTAATCTTTGGCAAGGCCAGTGGATTCTTTATCTGCATACTTAGGAGACTGAATCAGGTGAGTTTTAAACAGTCACTTCAGGCTTCGTAACTTGCAGGAGCTGAAATGGTCATTGAAACCTTTATAAACTCAAAACTGTCTAAAACATGAATTATAAGAAAGAGGCTTCATTCTTCAGTAACTTGATGTTACTGTACTTCTGAGTTTGAAAATTGTAAAGTCAACTGTGTAAATGATTATGCATATCCTTTACACATTCAGAATCATTTTCTTAGAAAGCCCTCAACATTTTTATAACTATATATTAATTTATTATCAGAATAAATGTATTGGCATGCTCAATAAAGTCAGATATTTCAAATCTATTTGTTTTCATGTGGGTATTCTTCCACTAAATACCAACATTTTGTAGTTGATGTAATGCTATATGAGGTGGGAATTTTTAACCTGCTTTGGGGCATTGTAAGTAGGTTTCTGCTATGAACAGTGGAGTTTTTCAATAGGAAAGAAATTGCCACTGTTTCTACAGTCTGGTCACATGGGTTTGGGCTTTGGAATTTTACTGTTATTTGAAAAAAATAGACACAGTTTTGAATCAAGGCAAAGGTGACATTGTTAGGTGAGTAATTCAGTTTATTGCTGGGGGGAAAAAAGCTTATTTAAGCCTGATGATAATTCTTGCAATGGTTTCAAAGCCTAGCCCTGGTCCATTTGAATCTCAATTTCTCCACTGTAATCTTCGACAAGTTACTTAAGTCTTTTTGTATTTCTATGTCCTGGTCTGTGAAATACAGACCATATTGGTTCCTCTTTCCTAGGGTTGCTCTGTGGACTCACTCATTTAGCAAGTGTTTGCAGAGTGCCTGTTGTCTGCTAGGCACCAGATGAAGACGAGCAGGGTTTCTGTCATCATGGAGCTTACTGCAACTAGAAGAGGAAATACCAGGTAAGGTTACAGGCTGGTTAGGGCCTGGAAGGAAACAAACCAGGTGATGTATTGGTAACTGCGGCAGGTGCCTTTGTAAAGGGTAGACAGAAGGTGTTTCCGGCTGGCGCTTTTTCTGAGACAGGATGAGAATGACAGCTTTGTGAAAATAATTAAATGAGGTAATGACTATAAGAAACAGCATAATGCCTGTCACGTGCAGAAAAAGATCATTATAATTTCAAAAGGAACTCAACATTGCTTTGAGCATTGACAGCATTCTTAGAATAAGTATGAGAAGTGTGAGTTATTGAACAGTCGCCACACCTTACTGAGTATTTTGCGGGGGTTTAATAAGCCCTCTAGATCAGCAGCCGCCAACCTTTCGGACCACCACTGCTGGTCGTCTGACCACCACTGCTCCAAAGGTTTCCTTAAACCAGTGTTCGCCAATCTGTTGAGCCTCATGGACCACCGGTTGGCGACTGCTGCTCTAGGTGATTCTGATGCAGCTGTAGTTCGAGAACCACTGGCCTAGAACTGGTTTTCAAACTTGGCAACACATTGGAATCACCTAGGGTGCTTTAAAACGCTAGCTACCCCAGAGAGAGTCTGATTGGCCTGGGTGCTGCGTGGGCATCAGGATTTTAAAAGAATCTCCCTGGTGATTGTAATGTGCAGTCAAAGCTGAGAACCACTAGGCTACGAAAGCAGAAAATTCTTAATCGCAAAGTAAAAAGACTCAATTTTCTTCAAGTGGGCACACCTGCTTTGCATGGGGAACAGTGTGTGGGCTCAGTTGGCTGCACACTTTGTGTTCAGTCATGCAGTCGGCCTTTAAGTGACCAGAGAACTGGGCTAATGAACACAGTGGGAGAGCCCCAATATGGGCAGCCTCTGGGCTACGCCCCCTATTGAAACAGGCAGTCACACTAACAACACATGCTGACTGTTAATTACACACCTTACAAAAGTGACAGCTTCTGCAGGTGTAAGTAATTAGGGTTTCTTTAACTCCATTCGAGGATGCCTGCCATTCCCTACTTCCCATAGAACAAATTACTCATGATTACGTATTTGACTGGGAAACCATTTTCCAAATTCTTTCTTGTTAAGGGTTTAAAACAAAGGACATATGAAAAAGAAATCAGAGTTAAAAATACTATTTCCAGCTCACAGAATGCATACAATGGGGTTGGGGAGTAAGGAGGCAGCAGAATCTCCCACCTTTCTTTATAGACTTGCAGAAGAGTCCTAGAACTCAGGGGGGAAAAAAACACAATTCCTAATAGAATTCAGGATTAATATTGGTCTAATTCTAGGAAAGCATGTTAGCATTTTTCTTTTTAAAAAAAAATACATTTTTTATTGATTTCAGAGAGGAAGGGAGAGAGAGAGAGAGAGAAACATCAATGATGAAAGAGAATCATTAATCGGCTGCCTCCGGCATACCGCACACAGGATGAAGCCCACAACCTGGGCATGTGCCCTGACTGGGAATTGAACTGTGACCTTCTGGTTCATGGGTTGATGCTCAACCACTGAGCAACACCAGCTGGGTGCATGTTCGCATTTTTCAAAAGAAAAATGGTCACCCCTCAAATTAGGGAAGAAAAGTCACTAACCAGCCTTCCCCAAGCGCTGGTGCTGGGGGAACAAGTTTGAGCTGGCAGGGAAAGCTGAGAGGCACATCCAGCTGCTGGAGGGGAAGCCAGGGAGGGGCTAGGAAGAAGTCTGGGGAGGTCATTGCTTCTATGTTGCTATTACCTCTGAGCTCACAGCCAAGCATTTGGTGATGAGTGGGGGTTGCTGTTGGTCAATAGGACTGGCAGACAGGAAGGAGAGCTGACTTGCAGCAGGAAAGTGGACAAGGTAACCACCCACACCAGCTGTCTTACCACCTCTAACCTCAGTGATCTTCAGAGTCTCAGCTGCTGCTTCCCTTCTGCCTTCCAAATTTTGCACAAATCTCTCTTTTTGAGCCAACTGCAACCCAGAACCATGTAGGAAGAGAATGCTGGGAAACATTGTTCCAGCTTAGCCACGTTGATGCAGCACAAAAATACCAGAGTTATTGATAGTGAAACACCTCCAAACCCACCTAAGGATTTTGGTTAGAAGCCCCAGCAAATTTAATCTTTGTACAACCTGGCAAACCTGTTATAACACCTGCTTCCTGAGCAAGGACAAACGCTGGGAAACTGGCCTGGCCTCCAGTGCAGAGCGCAGAGGCACAGGTGGGCCCATTGGGCTGTAGCCAAAGAAGGCAGCTACATTGGAACTAGATGGCAAATGAAGGGCATTGGCTGGACCAAGAGGTTCAATATGAAGTGGCTCTCAATTAGGGGTGAATGTCTAGTAAGTGGCACTGCTTCAGACCAGGAGGGTCAATACTAGGGACTGAGGTGGACAAGCAGTGCCTCTCTGAGACCTGACAATGGCAGCAGGACCCAGTCACTAGGCAAAGGTTTAGGGCCAGACTTCAGTCTTAGAGGGGAACTGAGTTCTTGGGTAGGGTCAAAGGATGGACCTTTGGACAAAGATTAATGCCAAGGTTGAGGGTGGGGAAGGGGGGAAAACACACCCTTCATGGGCACCTTCTGTGATTCAGGCTCTTTACATGAGAGCAGCACAGGCCACCCAGAGTCACCCCAAAGGGGACTGGGTCCAAGTCTGCAATCCCCAGTGGAAGAACTTGAACTATTACTATAGCTAGCAGGTATCTCTGAACTATTGATTGGTAATGATGACAAGAGTGAACGAGCGTGGATGGGGAATTGGGCCAGTTAATGAGATTGAATGAGATAAAGAACCAAAGCAGAAGAATGTTTGCACATAGTGAGGGCTCAATGAACAATAATTTAATCTTGCTCCATCAGAAATGCCTCAAGATTATGGTATGGAGAACTTGCCTGAATTTAAATGGACTCAGCCATATGTGTCAGAATCCAGTCCAGAGAAGAAGAACCGTAAGTGATAGACAATGAAGGATTTGTTTTAAAGGATTAATCTTTGCATCATTGTGGGAGCCAGTGGTGGCCTTAAGGCAAGGCTGTTATTCCTACATCTGATCTTGAGCCTAAAGTAGCTCTAGGGCAGCCGAACTGATAGTTGGGAAAGAAAGCTTGGTGTATGAATGAGAGAAAATGCAAACTAGAACCTACATCTGTCTCTCGCCTCCTCCTTGATGTTGTGTGTGATGTCCAGGGGAAGAGGGTGCCCTCCCCTTGGAGTTGTATAAATAAGTATTTGGCCCAGAACAAGGCAAGCTAGCGGATCAACCACAACGTGCTTAAGCACCCAGTTTCTAGTGCCCTGCTCCAACCTTCAGAGCATAAAAATACCTGCGGCTTTGCTTCTGTCTTCTGAATCGCACAAAATTTCTCTGGTGGTCAAAGCTACCCCAGAACCACTCAGGGAAAGGGATTCTGGAAAATGTTCTGTAGTCCGAGCTTAGCTAAATTGTCACCAAAGCACGGGTGGGACACACTATATTTGTTCTAAAACACGGGAAGTGATAATAGCATGACATCATTTAGATCACACTAATGCTGATATTCTTATCCCCGGGTTAACTGAAACCCAGTCTCTGCCAATGTGTCAACCAGGTAGTGTTGCATTACTAACTACCCGGAAATTTAAAAACAGTAGTTATTTAAAAATGCTCTTATGTGTCTGTGGGTTTGGCTGGGTGGCTCTAAATTGCAGTCCTCAGACCAGGGGACTAGCCAGAACAGAGGTGCAAGAATCAATTCCCACTGTGCATGCACATGTCAAGTCTTTGCTTGCATCACTCCATTGGCCAAAACAAGTCATGAGGCCCAACCCAAAGTCAAAGGCGTATGGAAGTGGAGGGAGGAAAGGGGTGAATGTTTCTGAAAAGTAATCTTACCACCTCCGTCATTAAATGGCACACTTGGAATCTCAACCTAACACTTGTGATTCCAAACCCCCTTTTTCCCCTTGTGTGGCAGTGTTTGAATAACAGAAAACCTTCCCAAATGATAAAAATGGGAGCAGTTGAAACATTAAAACAAATCAGCCACCCTCATTTTGCTGGCCAAGCATCAGACATTAGCCCCGTGGGGTTAATTTTTGTACATTTGCTTTTTGAGATGAGTAAGGCTTCGGCTATGTTTTTCACATTCAAATTCAGAACCACACAACTCTAGTAATAATAGGTTCATATTTCCAAAGTCTGTCAAAAACACCCACTTGAAGATATTTATTAGCTCTAATTATAGAGAGAAATGGGGCAAGATGCTCATACGGTGTCATTAAAAGTGAGATGTGATGCCCATAGGAACTTTGACTACCCACCTTACTGCATGTCTGTTTCCAGGTTGCTGGAACTTCGTGATGATTCATTTTGAGTGTTTTTATGGCAATGCTCTAATACATTTCAGTGGCATCCAACAGTGTGTAGCTAGACTATTCCAAATCAGGTGAGCAGCTCTCACTCCAGGTCTGATGTGGTCTGCATGGCCATATCTGGAACTTTGAACTTTGGACCTTGAACAAGTCTGCCAAATATAGCTTATATGTTCCTAGCAAAATGTGGCCTACTCGGGATTTGCCCATCTGCTTGGCTCAGCACTCTCTACACCATGCTGTGTTGGGGTGGGGGGGAAGGGGGGACCAGAAAAGTTAGACGTGAAGGAGGACATTCTGCTTGGAAAATTATAAAGATTACTAATAGTTAACCCAAAGATGGATAAGCAGTGTCATTCAATCAGCAAATATGGTCCAAGAATATTTTGTTTATGCGAGCTGGGCCTGATCCCTGTGGAAGGGAGGATTTTAAAATATAGGATTATATTACAGAGAATCTATAAGAACAGGATGGATTTTTTAAAAATCAATAAGTGACCCAAATGTGTGTGTTGGCAGTTTAATGACTGGCAACTTGGTTCTCTTTGCCAAACATACCCCTTATTCATCATTAATTTTAAGGAATTACTGCGTGGACATAACGAGGCAGAAGGAGCACCTGACCTCGGCCAGATGGCTCTGGGATTTGTGCCTTGCACACGTGCTCCTGCACCATCTGTGGGCTCAGTGGGTCAGGGCCCCCGGCGAAGAGGCCAAGGATGGAACTGGTCACTCTCCAGGCTTTGGTCTCTCACCTGTAAAGCAGGAGGGTTTGAAGAAATCATTCTGAAGGTCTCTCTCAGCTCCTTTCTGATGTGCCTTTGAGCAGGCAAATGACTATTCCTGTTCTCCGATGAAGTTGTTCTGCCTGGCCTGCCTGAAGGGGCAACCCAGAGATGCCAGGGAGGTGAAGGAGGAGAAAGGACCCCTCTCTCTAGAATGATTGTGAACTGACAGCGCCGGGCCTGTAGGGGGAGCCAGAGCACCACTAGGCAGACTGTTGGCAGCCCCCGCGCAAGACAGCTTGCAGAAGGGCATATGCTGCCAAAACCTCTCTGGGCCTCTGTGTCCTCTTTCCCAAGGGGGCAGCCTACTTAAAGTGAGTGTCCGGAGAGTTGACGAGCGCAGGAGAGGAAAGTGGGAGGTAGATGCCTCCTCCTCAAAGAAACTATTATTTTACCCTACTGTCCCTTCTGAAAGCCCACCAACATTATTCCCCCAAACCACCTCTTTTTTGACAGAACTTTAATGTCAATTTCCCCTCTCTGCTGTGGGCTCAATCCCCAGGGTGGGTTGTGCAGGAGGCAGCCAATCAATGATTCTCTCTCTCCCTCTCCCTTCCTCTCTGAAATCAATAAAAATATATTTAAAAAAAGAAAGAAAGAAAAGCTCTCCTGTGACGCGTGCAGCCAGCAGCAGGGTCTGCAATATGTGCAATGCCTGTCACTCTCCGCCCTGACAGCCAGGCTCCGTGTGGTTTAAGGAAGGTTATCTGAGCTGTCACCACTATGCACGGTCACCCTCAAACAAATGACAGGAAATGGATCGGGGAGCCCTGTCAGTTTCCTTGCTCCTGGCATCCCTCCAAGGTCCAACCAAGAGAATTTCGACTTCACCTGAGTGACTAAGGAGGTAGAGAAAATCTACTTAAATGTCTCCAGACACACTGAGAAGGAGCATCTGAAAGACAGAAGAGCCCTATCGGTCTGTGCCTATTCTGCCCCTTGCACTCATGAGCTGAATGTTGCTTAGAGCTATGCAGCTGGGCTAACAAGGGCACCTGTCACTCTTATGTGGGCACGGAGCCTGCATCATAGGAAGCCTGAGAAAGAAAAAGGCACCATTAGGCTTGGCGCCCGCACCTCAGCTGTGGAGTCCCTCCTTACTTAACCCTCAGTTTCACAGACACCAACATCAGACAAGGTCACTCTTGCAAATGAAGCCTGCAGGGTGGGCTGGAGAGAGTTAATGCCCCCAGGAGTAGCTCTCAACTAGTGAGGGAGGAGAGCTGCTGCCCCCCAGACAAACAGATCTGGAACATGTTCTTTTTAAAAATATATATATTTTTTTATTGATTTTAAAGAGGAAGGGAGAGGGAGAGAGAGATAAAAACATCAATGATGAGAAAGAATCATTGATCGGCTGCCTCCTGCACGCCCCCTACTGGGGATCGAGCCGGCAACCCGGGCATGTCCCCCTGACTGGAATCGAACCTGGGACCCTTTAGTCCACAGGCCGATGCTTTATCCCCTGAGCCAAACCAGCTAGGGCTGGAACATGTTCTGTAGGCACCTGAGTAGGGTGCCCACACAGCCCCTGATGCCTTGGCACTGTCCAAGCCCCAGGCTCAGACCCAGTGCAGGGAAGGAGCTCTGCGTTCCCCAGCCCTTAGCATGCAGGTGGCTCAAAATGTAAGTGTCATTCACTTTGGGGACTGGATTCATTCCGGCTGCAGTATAAAGACCACACACCTCATTGAATCCATTCCTCCCAGATTTTAATTAATGTCCTCACCGTGCCCCCACCTCCTGGTTTGCTTCGAAACCCACAGGCTCTGGGTAGAATGCAGAGCCTTCTGTGTGGGAGGTGGGGCTTACTCCCTGCCCTCTGCACTGCTAGCTTCCATGGCTCTCGCTCCAGGGACTGGGAAAGTTTCCCCCTTAGTCTCCTTATGTAATGAATTGTTCAGCGTCCATTTCTAGGCAACTCACTCTGACTTACCCAATTTGGGTCTATGCATCATTTTTTAAATATATGCTTCTGCTTTTGCAAAAAAAAAAGTTTGTTTTGATCTCAATGAACTAGACTTGTACATTCTTTTAAAAAATGATTTTTAACTTATTGAGAATTCTCCTTCCCTAGTCTAAAAACTCTGGAAGAAGGAAAAGTGACCAGGTCCTCCTAAATTTGACCTCAAATAAGAGCTGTGACGTGTCTGAATTTAAAGTCTGTAACTTTTCTTGCTTTCATTCTACTTGACTTCAGGCCAAAAAATGTTATCACTTTAGTTCAAGTTCAAGAAGCATGTTTTATGTATCTAACAAGTGTCAATACTGTGCTGGGGACTCTGGGTGGGAAGATGTGTAGAATTTGTTTCGTCTAGTGGAGGAGACGCGTGTGTGATCATTTTCATCCAGAGTGGTCCATGCGCAGCGGACCTACATACACAGACACCAGAAGAGGGACGCTTAGGCCAACCTGGGCGTTCGGGGAAGACTCTGCAGAGATGACACATGAACTAAGTCCAGTGTGATAGTGAAAGGAGAAAAAGGCATTCTGGGCCGCGAGAACAGCATGGCAAAAGCAGAGGCCATAAAAAGAGTGTTGTTTTAGGGAGTAGGTATTTAGAGATGTGCAATGAGTGGCAGCAAGTGAATCCAGAGGGTGAAGGCCAGGCCAGGACGGACCTTGTAGGCAGGCTGTGTGCGGGAGCCGGGGCATCATTCTGAAGGTGATGGGGAGCGTGGAAGGGATTCTGGAAGGGGAGCCCTTTAGCCAGATCCCTTGGGCTCTGATTGTAGATTGAAGGTGCTTGAATGAATGAACCTGAGGTTCAAGGAGGAGTCAAGGCTAGGAATTATCGGGAAATAGGTGGGTTATTGTTTCACAAATACGTATTTTAAGGGTCACTGATGCTGGGCATGTTCCCATAGCAATTTTAGAAAAATAATTGTTTACAAATTTAGGCCTATTTTGTGTCCCACTTGGAAAATGTATCAAAAGACATACTCGTTGGCTTTCTTGGAATTGTTTTTGAAATATCTTTGCCTTCCCAGAAACTGGAGTGCACATATCCAACTCTGTCTGAGTCTGTGCTGACATAATGCAGTGAAGATGATATTTTGCAATTTTATGGTTCATGGGTGACTCATCAAGGTCATCCAAGCTAAGACCTCAGGAAACACTTGGGACAAGGACCTAGAAATGTCCTTGGTATATCATAGGTGTTCAATAAATGTTTATAGGTGTGTTGTGTTTTTTTTTTATTAATTTGGAAAGCGGCCCTCAGAGTCTAGGATTCGCTCTAGAAAGAGCATTATCATCTGGGTTGCTATTAGTAAGCTTATCATTCAGGAACTTGACTTTGAGCTTTGCAGGCCTCCTCCAGTCCAGCTTGAAATTTAGAATTTGTCACTCTTCCAGCTCAGCTCTCCCGGGTATCAGCCAGATTCTGTCACCTTCTGTGGTTACTGACCGGACTAAGAGGGGGAGGATTAGAACCAAGAGGTTGGAGGATTTTGTTTTAAGCATCTTCCCTATGGGAAAGCCTTGAGAAAATCCAGAGGCCCCTTGACACTGTCATGCAATGGCTTCTCCCGCTTATGGGAAGCAGATGGGGTTAACAGGCTGCAACTGTTGTTTTAAGCAAAATTCCCAAGCAACTTCCTATATCAGATACTCCCATATGACATACAATAAAGGAAGAAAAACCATTCTAGATCCCATGGGAAGTTCCCCCCCTCTCACTTTTAGAAACCATGCTTACTAGCTTTTTCACAGAAATAAAGGAAAAAGAATTTTATTGGATGGTGTTTTGGGGTCACATCTTTTCCCAGAAGGTGCATAATAAAAGAGGTCAAAACTCCTTTGCTTCTTAGAATGTCTGACCAACGCTGGGGGTAGTGGGTGAGATCCAGATGGCAGGCATTCTATACCTTGCCTGTACCCCAAACTGAGTAAACGGAGCTGGTTCTGGGGCAGTGGAAGATTCCTACCTTTGAGCAGAGGGCGGGAGCTGATTGGATAACATCTGGGAGTTGTTAGCGTGGGAATTTATAAGTCTCTGTCTCAGGGTCCTGCCATTGTCATCTCATAATATTAAAAAAAAAAAAAAAGCAGCAGAGCCCAGGCTTGCCTGAGAGAGGAGTCATCTCCGTATACAGACACTTATTGGCCATCCCTCAGTCAGCCTCCCATGTTCTTGGCTCACAGAACCCCCAGTGTGTTCATCCCTCTCCCCATTTGCTAGGGTATCTTTCTAGACATTTTCCCAGCTTCCCTTGCTGCTAAAGATGACCATGTAACACAGTTCCGGCCAATGAGACAGTAGGGGAAGTTGCTGGGGGGCTTCAGGAACAAAGCATGCTTTCTCAATAAAGACAGAGATGTCTGAGCAGAGCTTCCTTCTGCTGCCTCCCTTCCTATTTGGGATCCTGTGGCAATGATGTGACGCTTGGTGCTGTGATGGCCATCTTGCACCCAGGAAGAGACAGGTACCAGAATCAGAGCTTACAGGGATGATGGCTGGAAGGTTAAAAAGAGCCCGGTTATGGATGATGTCTGAGCTGTTGCACCAAACATGGAGCTACCTAGCTGTGAAGAGGGCATGTGAGAGAGCTAAAGATCAGTGTTTCCTCTGCCTCTGGGAGTCGGCTATTCTGTTGTTTGCACCTAAACTCATCTGAACTGATGCATCTAATATTGGCAGATCCTAAAACAATGAGCCCTTGTTTTCCCTCATTCTTGTTAGGAAGGTCACTGTCTCACTTCATTTCTTTCACTCACAAACACCAGGAGGCAATAACATGTGGAGATTAAAAGTAAAGGCCTTAGACCCAGATGGACCTGTGTTTGTGATCCAGTCACATCCCGTTCTCATTGTATGGCCTTGGGAAAATTGCTTTAGGTAGGTAAGCTTCACTTTTCTCAACTGTAGAATGGAATAATGCAATGAGGATAATATTGGTACCTACTTGATTGGCCTATTGTGAAGAAAAGGAGAAATAATGTAAGTGAAGGGCTCAACGCTTGTGCTTGTTATTACTTTTCTTTCTGTCGATGGGTACACATGTTTGTTCATACAGGTCTTATTGTCTATTGCCCAGTTAGTGTCCAAAGCGTTTTTCAACTTGATTTTTCACCAGCTCTTGAAATGTCATTCATCTGTATCTCAAATCCTGTTTTTTTTTCTCCTTCATGATAGAATCCATGGAATGAAGCATCCAGCCCTGTGGTAGGTGATAAGGGGAAACAAGGAAGTATGGGTCATGAATCTTGGCTTTGAAAAAAAAAGCCTGTTTCTTAGTTTGGAATATAATTCCATCATAAGCCATGTTAAATACAATGTAGGACAAGGGTCATCTTAAGGCAACCTGTGTCACGTTTCTATCTGGATCACACCTGTTAGGCTAGGGCCAGCTGGGTAAGGAGGCTATGCAAGGAAGTGGCAGATGGGCTGGAGGAGGGTGCTGGAGGCCTGGTCAACTGGGAGGCCGTTGCCCAAACCAATCTGTGAGGGGATGTCATTGTCAGGGACTCTACTACCAGTCAAACCAACTCACCACCTAGAGCTTTGTACAAGGGGAGTAGTCAAGGATATTCTCAAAGAGTGGACTGGGAAGGAAAATAACATTCCCAGTGAACAGTAAGAACAGGAGCTTCGACGGATTGAGCATCTGCCCAATGTTGGGGAAAATAAGATCTCTCAAAATAAAAGTCGATAGGCCTCAACTGTGGCTTCCACCTGGGTACTCAGAGCTAGGGAGCTGCTTGTCCCTGGTGTATGGTGAAGGCTCACTCTACAATGACAAGTGGGGTCAGCAGTGTGGAGAGTAGAGCAACAGGATGCAAAGTGGAGATGGGGTTGGACAGCTTTGGCACTGTCCCTGAGTGTGGGGAGGAGAAGTGCCTCCGGCTATCGTTTTATTTGGAGCCAGCCTCAGACATACCAATACTGACACTTGAAGGGCATGATTGGGCTGGCAGCCTCAAAGATAGACTGTACCAGGCAGGAGGCACCTCTCGCTTTGGCCTCCAAACATGTTTTATGGGCTCATGTTGGCTTAAGCACACAAGAGTGAGGTCTGCTGGCCTGGTACAGCCCTGGCCTCAAGCTATGCCGTTGGAAGTCTCTCTACTTGGCTTGACTCTTACTGTTTATACTTTGGAATCTGGCTAAATTGAAAGCCAGGGATCAGGGTTTATATAAATACACAGAAGTTGTTGCTCTTGCCACACGCAAGAGCCTATATCAGATTGTCCTCATATCCCAACTGTAAAAGAATTGTGTGGAGGGAGTGTGTGCATTGGCCTTTGTGTCTTCACCACAACAACATAAAAACTAGGATGTCACATTTCATCTCTTAGTGCAATTTAGTCCCATAGGCTTGGCTAAAATGCTGAGAGTTACTCTACTAGTTAGCAGCCGCCCTTCCATGTTGTTCTTATTGTAGCCTGTGGTCTCATTAAGAAAACCTTTTCTGCTCAACCTTTATTAACAGTGAAGGCCTGTGGATTCTGTGTCTCCAAAATAAAAAGGCTATGGGCTACAGTGTCAACATTTTACATTTTGATTTTTTAAATGATTTATTTTTTGTTTATTCCTATTTCTTTCTTAAAAGGATTAGAATGTGCTTACAATGAGAACATTATTATAATATATTATATACAGGGTGTCCCCAAAATATGTATGCACACTTTAACAGCTGATAGCTCAATTTTGAAAATAAAATGTACTTTAATAAACACTGCCTTTATAATTATTCAAAATGTTTATATACTTTTTGGGGACACCCTATATATTATATTATATTATATATATATTGGTTCCCTCTTTTGTTTTTCTTTGCTTTTTGTTATTTATATTAAAGAAACAGTTTTTTCTATTTTTTCAAGCTTAAAGTTTCTTTGGTAATACTGTTCTGTTTGTTTTTAAAGAATCTGTAATATTTATCTCTTTCTGCAGTTGGGCCAAATATTCTAGTCCAGGAAGTAGCAAACTATGGCTGTGGGACAAATCTGGCCAGCCACCTGGTTTTGTAAATAAAGTTTTATTGCAACACTGCTGTGCTCATTTGTTTATTATTGTCCATGACTGCCTTTGTGTTATAAGGGTAGAGTTGAGTTGCTGTGACAGAAACTGTAGGGCCACAAAGCCAAAAATATTTTACTATGTAGTCCTTTATAGAAAATGTTTACTGACCTCTACTCTAGTTCATAGTCAGTATAATTCTAAAATATTATCTCACCCAAGTGAATTTATCCTGATTGGCACTGTGTGATGGTGTGTAGCAAGATGCATTCTCAAGCCAGCTCCTTCTATGAATGATTAGAACTAAATCCCACAGTAAACTCTGGAAATGGTGTGGAACATGCACCTCAGAGTTATCCTACCAGAGAAATGAGAGAGCTGAGGTATTTTTACACCAACTCTTGTCAGTCATTGATTGAAGGCTGCTCCTGCAGGTGACTTTCAAGGCACGTCTGGCCTGCCCACATCTTAAAGCAGCCTTCTTTGGCTATGGGAAAAATCCTCAGACAAAGAAATGTAGATACTGACAGCTGGAAAGGAAGTTCTCTAGGAGCCACTAAAGCTTTAAGACCAGAGCGGGTGGGCTGGCGAGAACACTGTGTCACACACAGACTCTGGCGTTGAAGGGTGAATTTGAAATCCCTTTCTAAATTGTCCTTTAACTTTACCGTAGGATTTAAGTTAAGGATTAATAGAATCATATTTTGGGCTTTGGCAGGATTTGTTTTCTAATCATCTCATCTCATGTTTGGCTCTTAGATGTGTCTATTTTCAGGTCCTAACCCATCTCCAGAGGGTTCCCTGTATCTGCCTCTATGTGTATCCTCAATATAGGGCCATCTGCCTGCCAGGGCTCCAGCTGCCTCCTCAAAACCAGAGCCATATTCCCACCACTACCAGCAGCACCTCTAGTAGCCCTCTCATCCCACATCCACATTAAATGGCATTCCTGTGCCTTTGTACTATGGATTCTACCAGGAGAGGAGCTGAGGCTGAGAAGAGCTGAGAATTCAAGCAATTAATTGACTTGCTCAGTGCTCCAAATAGCCTCTGGAGAAACTGATGCTGTTAATTCCATCAATATTGGCCAACTGGACTTGGTAATGGAAGGTCATAGAGGGCCAGCTAGAGGAAGAGTGAGAGTGCAATGAAAGACACAACAAGAACATGGATGCTGGAGAAAAAGCTTTTTAAAAAATATATATCTTTATTGATTTCAGAGAGGAAGGGAGTGGGAGAGAGAGATAGAAACATCAATGATAGAGAATCATTGATCAGCTGCCTCCTGCACACCCACACTGGGGATCGAGCCCACAACCTGGGTATGTGCCCTGACAGGGAATCGAACTGTGACCTTCTGGTTCATAGGTCAACGCTCAACCACTGAGCCATGCCAGCCAGGCTCAAACTTTAATTTTCAAAGGTGAGTCTGATCTGTTAGGTCTGAGCTTGCAAACTATCACACTAGGGGAGAAGTGATCGTGATGACTATTTTTAAGCCAAATGAAGTCAGGCAAGCTGCTTATATGCTGCGATAGCACAGTGTATTGGTATTACATAGATCTCTTGGTGATGAGGAAATATAAGCACCCAGACCAATGGAAAGAACTACCACACCAGCAAAGATCCTCACAGTGTTAAAACAGAGCTAGGGACACACTTCTATATCCAAAAAAAACACATTTTATGGAAGGAGTTGAAACTGGCAAGGAGATTGGAAGACCTATTGTTTACATAGAAATAGCAGAGGGTTCTAGAATCCTGGAAATATCACCTCTTTGGCTATCGTGCTTAGCATCATCATTGAAATATGTCTGAATCAAGGCATTTTAATCATCAGGGCAGGGCTGGTAGGTGCTTTGGGGTTTTGTCAAAAGTGGTCACAAGTTGCATTTCAAAAAGAGCTTTTAAAGAACAATCATGGAGAGTATACACAATGTGTAGCGTGGAGCCCATCAAGGCAGCCCCCTGTCAGTGGGTTGCCTTTGTCCAGATTTGGTGACTGCTCATGGGTCACTTGGTGGCCAACTGGCTTTTTTTCATTAGAAAATGGAATCCCATCAAAATGACCTCTGATAATGTCCAGTTCTGGTGCAGAGATGTCCATCATCATGGATCTGGGGGACTTTGATGTCTATAGGAGTTGGAATTCTGAGTTGGCTGGTGGGATCAACGGCATTGAGACTAAAGAGGAAATAGCTCAGGGCCCCTCCAGGTATGACATCTGCTTTCAGTGTTGTGAAATAGCATAAAGACTGTTGGACTCTAGACTGCTGGCTGAATACTTCTGTATTTCCAATGGGATACTTAATAATGGCAAACTTGGTGGTGATGGTGATGAATTCAATCTTAAAAAAAAAAATAACACGCCTCAATCATAAAATTCAGGGGACACATGAAGATTGAACTGGAGAATCAAATCTTCTAACTGCAAGGGTCCCAGGTTCGATTCCGGTCAAGGGCATGTACCTGGGTTGCAGGCACATCCCCAGTAGGAGGTGTGCAGGAGGCAGCTGATCGATGTTTCTCTCTCATCAATGTTTCTAACTCACTATCTCTCTCCCTTCCTCTCTGTAAAAAATCAATAAAATATATTTTAAAAAAATCTTCTAACTGCCAGGTTTCTCTACTTTTAAATTGATCATTGTGGACAAAATCAGAACTGATTTTGTCAGGAGAGAATTTGAACACTCGGTTACACTATGGGGAAAGCTTGAATTTCTTTTAGAACTGAATGGAGGCATCTGTTTTGTTTAAATTAAGGGTCTGTAAGTACCAGTCAGGGACCAAGTTGACAGCCATTCCTGTAATAAAGTAATAAATCATGGGGATGGTTAAGGAAGCAAGAAACACCACATTCTTCCTTTGCTTAACCAATTAAGCAATAAGCCATCTGGGTCTTTCTGTTAATTACTGTCAAACACAACTTATTCAATTGAATTCAGCCTTTTATTTAATTATATTAATTCATTCCAGCAACTTCAAATACCCACAGTACCAATAATAAAGTTCCTTTAAAAAAATAAAGGTCTTGTTTAATTTTTTTTCAATCATTAATACCCTTTACAAGCTAATAATACCCTTTATTAGCTTGGTCTCCACCTCAAGATATTAGAGGAATTCATTTTAAATATAGACAAGCCTGAAAGAAGAAGACGATGGCTGAGATTTCTTCTCTTTGATGGGAGGATGGACTTATGTAGATCAGTGCTATCCAATAGAACTGTTTGCAATGATAAAATGGTCTATATCTGTGCTCTCTAAAACAGTTGCCCCTAGCCACATGTGACTATTGAGCACTTGAAATGTGACTATTGAGTACAACTGAAGAGCTGAGTTGACATTTTCTTTCATTTTAAGGTATTTACAAATAGATAGCCACAGGTGGCTAGTAGCTACTAGCACAGGTCTAAAGTGTCTTCTGAGGAAGGAGAAACGCAGTGAGTGAATCATTGACTTAAGTAGGAGAAGGAATACATAATTATGATAGGCATTGTTTAGAAACCCTCACTTCCTATCTAGTTTTCCTTATTTGAAACACACTGCATTCTGAAGCAGCCCAAAGGAGACCAGCATCTTTGAGGGGAGGTTTCTAAGCTGAGCATGTGAAGAGGGAACTCTATCTGGAGGAGAAATGGGCATGAATGGTGTCTTCTGAATAGCAGAACCAACCCCACTCATCAACTCATCAATGGGCATGAATGGTGTCTTCTGAATAGCAGAACCAACCCCACTCATCAACCTAGTATGGTCACACTAGGCCGGGTCACAGCAAGGAGAGCCAGTGGCTCTGGTCTAGTGGAGGTGTGTTCCTCCCACAGTTGTCAGTGTTCAATCTATGGGCATGCTTAGGGGTCCCAGACAGTTCCTACAGGCCCAGAAATGGCTCTATCACCACCACCCCCATAAACATTAACACCCAACTCTGGCTCCTCTCATAAGAATTTTTGCTCAGACACTGGTATTTCCCCTCAGAGAGGTTTGCCTCTTTGCAAAGGTTGCTATTTCTGATCCAGTCAATACAAACCCTGTAACAGAGCATCGGGAAAGTTTCTCAAGTGTATGCACTTTTGTTCATGGGAATCCTCAGTCTGAGCTGACCCTTCTAAAGACCAATGACTAAAGAGAAGTATATTGCATGGGAATCTGGTTGCGGTTCACCAAATTGGGAAAGGGCTAGGGCAGGGTGAATGGAGGTAGAAAGTTCTGAGAAAATTCTCATTAACATGAAAACGTCCTATCCCAGGTTTGCTGCTTTTCAGCTGCTAGGCTGAGCTGGAGGTCTGGTTCAAAGCTCTCTTCTATCTTCTCTCCAATCCTGCTCTTCTCTCCGTAGCTTCCCTTCCTTCTTCTGAGCTAGGGCTCAACCAGGAAACATGAAATTTCCCTGTCCTAATAGGCTTAATCCATAGTTTTTGGTATGCCAGGCCATATGCTCTCTTTACACTTTAATTTCCATAGTTGGTTACACAGACAATCCAAGGTAAGGCCATTTGAAATAAATTGATCAATTGGATTTATGCATCCTGGAAGTGCTAGCAGAGAATGTCCAGGCCTCTCTTCTTAGAGATAAAAGCAATTATTACATACATGCCCAATGAAGAAAATGAAGAATCTTCTGTACTATGTAATGATCATCTACCAGTGATGAAGACAATGTGTGTGTGTGTGTGTGTGTGTGTGTGTGTGTGTGTATATATATATATATATATATAGTGTTTTTTTTTTTCAAAAATAGCCAGCAGTCAATGGCATAGGTGTGAGAAGGGAAAGACTTTCTACACTCATTCATGGAGCCTTCTTCTCTGCTATCACAAGGAGTACAAACACAGAGGATGTGCTTCATGGGATACACATGCTTTCTTAGCTCTCTTGTCACTGAACTGTGAGGACCAATCTTCTCTTTTCCTTCAGACTCTGGCATTCATCGTTCATCCACAGCGCGGACATTGTCAAATTGCCACAGCTGGCTGGCTTTTCCATCACACTGACGCAAGTACAAATCCTTATTGTTTTCCTGCACC